GCCCGAAGGGGTTGACCTGTATGGAACTTAAAGTTTTAAGTTTACATTTGCTCCAGAGGGTGAAGAWTGACAGTTCTAGTGCTTACTGATGATTAAATGTTTTCATTATATTAAAAAAGATCCCTTATGCTCGAGGAGGTTGCTTCCAATCACTGCTAAATGACAATTTTTTGTATTCATTTGTGTTTTTTTTCTTAGAAATGTTTGAAACCATCTGCTCAATTTCTTACTTGAGGCCTGTGAGTTTAGTTTCAAAGGCTTGCACGAGGTTCTTGGCCTCTTCCTTCCATCGCTGAGTGCTCTTCTGCTGTGCTGTGAGGAGGCGTGTCAGATCAGCACTCGAGCTCTGGCTACTTTCCTCCAGCTCCCTCACTCGCGCATCAAATCCCTGCTCTTTCAGGCTGTATTCTTGCTCCATCTGTGACACCTTATGGAGGACAGCTCAGAGTGAGTGTGCACACAAGTTCAAATTTAAAAGGAAAAGAGGTGAAAAAGAATCACTTATAATGTGATCAAAATCCAAACAAACTCATCAAAATAGCTAATTAATTAGGTGTGAACTATAGCCATGTGATGTGAGTATCAGTCACCTGGAGGCAGGACTCAAAAGCCTGAATTTTGCCTGAAACTCTCAGACTGAAGAAGTCTCTTGGAAGAGAAATGAAACGTTTCATTAAAGAAGAACCCGTCCAGAAGACCTATACTATTTTTTTTTCCTTTTGATTTTTTACCTGGATTACTGAGATGCATCAGGACATCAAAATAGCTGCACACTTTTTTATGCTAAACAACTTAAGTGATAACACGTCTTAGGAAATGACTCAAAGTGAATGTCGTGTTTTCAAAAGTGGAGCTCAATCCTGTGCTCTCTGGATCACATGTCCCAAGGAAATAAAAATATTCCCTTAAGAGGATTATGTTTTGAGAGCAAAATAAATAATAGAGTCACCATACCTATCCAAGCAATCAGTGTCACTCCTACTCTCGTTCTTTATCCTTCCTGTCTACATATTAAAAATAAATAACTCTAAAGTTCGACCTTTAGCCCYGCAGCATGACTTCCTTCCCTTTATTTATTTCCAAAAGTTAATTGAATTTTCCCTTGATTTGATTAACCTTTACTTTACTGGCAGTATGAGAAAGCAACCTGCACCATCTAAGCTGTTTCTCTTATATTTGTATATCTTTAGTTCAAGCTCAAAGGGATCCCTGATTAGTTGTAACATTAGACTTTATTGATAAACATGTATTTTAACTGTAAAATAAAGACTGTAAAAATACTGTA